TAGACAACTTACCAAGCTCGATGTAAAACAAGACAAGATAATAGTAACTCAAAATATTGTTGAAAAGCTGTATGTTGTCTGGAAATCTGGAAGGCGAAGAAAAGATGAGAACTTTGTCACACGCACTACGCGTTCGCGATCGGTCTTTTATTAATTCGGTGTTACGGTTACGAGACGATACAAAAACTAATTTCAAAAACGACGCGACACGGGAAAAGGAAATAATTAATTATCGAACGATTTAAAATTGAAAGAGAAAAGATAGAAAATGAAAAGTATGAAATTTTACGTATTCACTAAAGTCTTTGACGCGGAAAACGGGCAGCTAATTACTACGATTTTCACAGAGCAACTATTGCTTAACGCGAACACGGGCTCCCCGTCACGTACCTCACGATTTTTCGACGAAGAGTGATTTGCCTCAGTCAAGCGATCGTGTCTCAGGGTTCGACCCGCGATCGATACCCCAAAGTGGGGACACCATTTGGCATATCAGGGTACATGTCGGAGGGGAAATCCCGTGCGGATTGGGTTAACTGGCCGCGCTTTCTCGTTTCTCATCCCTTCTTGACCTTTCATGCTGCCTTCGTCTAACGTTGTCTATTTCCTTCTACCCCTTTTTTCTATGGAATTTGTGCGTCGCAATTCTAATACTTCTGGAATGTTCGAAATGTATTGCGACTTGGCTTTATTTGAATTCGTTAATCAAAGAAGCTTTTATAAATGTTTCCAGTATCAAGAAGGTCTAATTGTGATAGATGTTTAATGTATTGAATGACTATTAATTGAATTACTATTAATTATTCCGTTCTTTATTCACGTTTTGGCCGTTTACGTGATAAAAGGCAATCGATATTTTATTGTTATCGTTAAATCGCGGATATATGCGCATGGTTTGTTGCATTTATTTAACACTAGACCCGTGTATTTTAATTATTAACCATATACATATATTCGAAACGTTTTACGTTTAACGTTTACCAGATGTTCGTTGCCGATGTTTATTGCCCTAGTCGACCTTTGTCTCGAACGTTCTTGAACATCGGTCGACAATTTCAAACTACAGTGGTTGTCACGCAAACCCTCGCATTTCATAATCATTCAAACAGTTTCATTCCGTCCAATTCCAATCACTTTCGTTCTTAATTGCATTAATTCTTTGGTGGACGCATGCTTTGCAGGTAGGAGAGGTATTTCGCTCGCAAGGTAGAACAAAGATCTTCTTTGTATTGCGCGGTTAATTTGGGAAATTTCCAAGTGCGTCGCACTGCTTAACCGCGCGGCGAAGGTCGTTTATGATACCTCTCCCTTAACGGTTTCAAATTTCTATGTTTTCGTTGCTACGCAGCTTCGACGAGGCAATCGTCCCAAGGAAAGGTTGACTTGTATTATTTGAAAGAAACTAAATATAGCCTCCTTTGTGTGCCTCGCCTGGGATTATCTCCAAGTGCTACGCACTGGCGAGGTACACAAATTTGGTATATTAACGGTCGAACTATTGAAACTAATAAGAGGAAAGAAAAAGAGAGAATTATAATGTTAATCTCAAACCTCTTTCTTGTGCCCTTCGTGTGGAATACAGTAAAACCTGGATAAATGCAACGAAAGAATGCTTGGATAAGTGCAACATCGCTATCCCCTCCACTTGGGGGGATCCCCCTAGGCGAACCGAGCCACTCGGCGAGGAAACCGTGTAATATGATCCGACCGTAATATCGGTGTGACTAGTACTAATTGAACGATAAAACTTTTTTATTTTTAACTTTTTCTTAATGAAACTTTTACTAACGCATTTGTGAGATTTTTCTGATTAAAATGACACCAAACACGATATAGTTTGAATTATATTTATTTGTTAAAATAATAATAAAAGGATAATAAAAAATAGTAGTGTACATTATAATAAATATTGTAGTATTCTGATTAAAATGATACTAAACACGATATAGTTTGAATAATATTTATTTATTTATTTATTTCAAGTGCAGCGCACTCGGTGAGGAGACACAAGATAGGAGGAGCGCGAATAGGATAATGGAAAATGAGAAAAGTCAAAATACCCTTCCATTCGCCTCCCGTAGGGGAATTTCTTCCAAGTGTGGCACACTGAACGGGAAACGCAAGGTCAGGTTATGAAAAAGATAACCCGGACGTAACAGATTTCTTCTCTCGTTTTAAAAAAGAAATTGTTTTTAGATTTTTCGCACTCGTTCTTTGGCGTTCTTTTTGATGGGGCACACTCGTGAAAGAGCGCCTGCGGCGGTATTTTCTTTGCCTTTTTTGTATTCTATGTCGTAATCATACTCTTCGAGTCTCAATCGCCATCTCATGAGTCTAGAAGAGGGATCTTTAACATCCTTTAACCATTTTAGTGCTTGGTGATCAATTTGAATTATGAATTTTCTTCCTAACAGGTATTGTCTAAGTCTCTTGGTGCCCCAGACTATTGCGAGTAGCTCTTTCTAGCTTGTACTGTAATTCTTTTCAGGAGGATTTACCATATATTGATCCTTTGATCATCTAGATAGATGGCAAGCCCCATTTCTGCAAACTTCCGTAGCGACAGTAAATTTTCCCGGAGAGTCTCAGCAAATATAACTTTGTCTATCTCTAAAGTTCTACCACTCTTTAACCCAACCTCGATTTTCCTTGTTCTATTCATTCTTAAATTTGTTGAGTTACTTTTGTTAACACATTTGATTACACCATAATGAATGAAGGGTTTTAAACATGATCTTATAATTTGTTATATGCTCTGTCGCACCTGAGTTTGTTATAAATTCTGGCATAGATCTAACCTGATTTTCAATATTACTACAATATTACTTCAATATTAATAGACTCATTGGATTCCTATCCGTAATTTAATTTTTTTAACTATGGCACACCTCTCCAAAAAGCTGAAAAAAATTGAGGACGATAGTATCAATAATATACACTGTGACCCTCTTCGGGGGTTCACTCTATACGGTATTTCCTTGTCGCGGACTTTGCTCTACAATTCTCTCTTTCTCACAAACGTTGAGCGCCAGCCACTCGCTGTGGCGATTTGAATCAAAAAAGGGGAAAAGGGGGGTGATTGGGGGTGTCTTACAGGGGATGGGCCTCGGGGCACTTACGTCCGTACAATACTTCGCGGGGGAGTACGCAAGGAGGATTAGTGTGGGAAGGGAGATCTCTAGGGTCGGGAGGGGTTCGCAGGAAAGTTCGTCTACGTTACGCGAATGAGGAAAACTTTGTGTTTGGAAAATAAAAGGGGGACTCGCCCCTATGTCGAACAATGCGCGGGCGGAGAAGGTAGCCGTTGCCTCGATCTCGCTAATACAATAATTACGATAAGGGACTCACCCAAACTTCGCTCTCTTTCTCTCACAATCTCGCTATTGATCGCTTTCCAAAAATCTCTCTCTCTGAATTACTCTCAACGGTAGCCTCGGGCTCAAGTGACGGTTCGCCGTCGTTGCTGCGACGACGAAACCGTCGCGGGATGGTTTTGGGGAGGGGATGGGACTAGGAAGGGGGCCTCTTCCGGCAACGGGATAGATCGATTATCGATCTTCGATACACCGGGGCTCGGGGTCGATGGGGCTGGCGGATATCCCGCGATGACGGGTGGGCTGAGGTCTTCGGGCTCGGCGACAGATGGCTCCGGGTGGACGTTTTGCATCAGTTGGGCAGCTTCGTCTATTTCTTCGGAGTCCCATGTTGCTCCGTTTCCTTGGAGGGAGGGTAGAGGTCTGTCGCCGGCCTCGTAGCTCCTTCTGCGGGTATTCCTCGTACGTCTTTCGTCGCCTCCATCGGCCCGCCACCGGTGAGCAGGGGGGAAAGGGTTAGGTGAGGGGAGGGTTACGGGTGGTTTTGGGGTGGAATTGTAAAATGGGAAAAGCGCAGCGATTGTAACGGGGGGGCACGGGTGTCACCACGTTACAACACTTATAAAAAAAATATGATCGTAGGACCTCACCTCCTTCAATAAAAAATCGCGATTTTTCAGCAATTTTTGACGTTTTTGATTTTTCACGGCTTCAGTTTTCAATCTAAAAATCTAAAAAAATTCTGTAATATGTGCCTCACAAATGGAAATGTCTCTGATTTTTTTCAGAATTTTCGAATGTCATTAAATGGGAGAAACTGGCCAAAAACCTCGCAATTACATTTTTACCCGTAACTACCCTCCCAGATGAGATACAGGGTTGAAACTTGGCACAGACTGTTTTTTTTTAATCACCTATCGAATGGTTCATAGCAAGTCGAATTTGGCTTGGGGGGGGGGGGGGGGGGGGGGTTGACCATCTTATTCGGTTATACCCTTTCATATTATTATTCAGCTTATATTGTTGCCTCATATACCCACCGTTATTGACTATTTCTAATTTCAAAGTGTCTTTGTTCTCTTTATCTTTGGATTGACTCAATTTTACGTTTCTCAAATTTTCAATTTCTGACCTAACTACGTTTGCAGTTTCTTTCTTGAAATCAGACTCTCCTCGACCATTCGGACTGTTGCTTATGTTTGTATTTGGTCTTTGAATCTCTTTCCTTTAGATTTCTTACCTCGTATTGCTGTTCGCTGGACCTCTCACAAGGAGATGCTACGAAGTGCTAACTCGACTTTCGAATGAGCTGTAGTGCATTCGAAAGGGGAGGTCAATAGTACAAATCGTGTTAAGGGTTTTGGGTGTTTGGGCCTTACTTTTTGAGAAAATTGCATAAATATCTATGCATTTTTTCAGCTGTACTATAAATAGAATGAATAGTTAAATGTCAGCATGAACCGAAATAGCCGAGCAGGTTAAATGCCCGTGCAGCCACTATTTTGTAATCCATGCAAGCTCGGTTCAAGACAACATTCTGATAATTTTTTTTTTTCTTTTTAGATTATTCTATTCATGAATTGATTTTTTTCATTCTTTGCAGTAATAACAAACGATTTATTACGTGGTATTATTTCTGCATGTAGTTTTATTATGTTATTTGTTATAAAATTCTGTCATGGCTGTGCAATGTTGCGGATGAAATTTTACATAAAAACAATTAAAACATAAATAATTTGTACACCATGAATAAGTTATGAATGAAAAGCGGAAATTACATATACATTTTTTTGTTATGTATATCAGGTGGAAAACATAACTGATTTACATTATAAAATATATCGCGTTCATTCTCTAACTTTGACGCGTACCAAGCGAATTGGATCATTTTCTTAAATAGTGGTGCAGATAATAAATAATGAATTAAAGATTGAATGCTTATGGCGTCATATCGTGTGTTCAACTCCTTCTTTTCTCTGTCAGCCATAATGTGTTGTAAATAATTTTGAATCCGTTTATTCAAAATTTTGACCTGTCTATAAAAATATACATCGCAAGGTTGACAGATCGGAGTACACTTTGGCGGTATTATTTGTAAATTGCACGTTGGTCGGTTTTCACTATTTACAAAAATTTCATTATACATATGAACATTTCTATGCCCCCCCCCCCCAAGAGTCAACAATCATTAAAAAAGGATTGTTTCCAACATACGGTTTTATAACTTTCTCTAAATATTTTTTATACAAATCTGAACTCAGTTTACCTGACTTTGAACAAACGACAATAACGTTTTTACACAATTTTAAGATTTCGTTAACTTCTGCTTTGACACGGACTCCAAACGCATCTCCCGATTCTTGCAAACATACAAACACTTTAGGTAATAACTTTCCAGATTTTGTCAATGAATATTGAGCAGTGTATGAATGTGTTATTTTATTTAAATCACCTATGAAAAGTTCGACTGTTTTTTGACCCGTATGTGTGTATGTTCTTGCAACATTTATTCGATATTCGCAGCCAGTTTGATCTGTATTAATAATATAATCAGAATCATAATCATTAGAAATTGACTGTATTAAATTTTGAAATTGTATCGCAGATTTCATAATTTCTTCCGGCGATGTAATTTCTTTGTTCGATACATAACGTACAACACGACGATTCGAAATTCTGTAAACTTTAAGAAAGTTTGTTATCCACGATGCCGATGTTGTAAATTGAAAATTGCTTCCATCTTCGTTAACTGCATCCCGAAATTGCATCGCAGCATCCATAGCCCACTGCTGTAATTGTCGTCTTGTCACTAATTGTTCCCGCCTACGTGTTTCTATGAATTGATCGTAGACATTTTTTTTTTATAATTTCCATTTTATCCGTATATGTACCACCTTTTATTATGTCTTTTCTAAAGCGTGCGGTATCGGTTTTGTGGCGTAAATGACGTTTAAATCGTGTTTGTAGACCATAAAAACTCCATGTAGGATGTTTGTTTACGGTCATGACAATTTTCAATTTAATATCAAAGGGCACCCTGTCCAGAGACGAAATATTTTTACAAGATGGCACATATTCTTTCTCCAACGTTGGCGGAGTCAATTTCTGTTCCTCTTCTTCGTTCGACGAAAAATATTCCACTTCCTCTGCCATCGTCTACTCTCTCAACATTTTAACAAAATTTTCAAATAATTTTCCTGCAACTTCTTTGGCAGAGCGTGTAAATTTCTTTGGTGGTTCATCAAAATATCTAAACAGTAATGAAATATTCCTATATATTTGTTGCAAATGTTAATAAAATATGTTCTACGTGTGTTTATAAAAATATACAATATATATAATATGACTCTTATTGTTAAAATATCTACCTTTAAAATATGCGATATTATCGGTTAAATCTTCTTTTGAATTTCCGGTGCCCGGACCACACCACGAGGAGGAGGGGTTGGCACATGTCACCGCTGGGGCTGGCTGCAAAGCCCCGAACGGCATCTTTGTGGTCCTACCATGTCATAGGTTATTGTCAGTAAAGAGCCTTGTGGGGTTGGGAAACCCGCTCTGCCGTTCCGAAGCTTTCGCTTATACCGGCGGTGTTAGATGGCGCATAGCGCTTGAATTACTTACCACCCAACTCAACCCCCTTACCAAGGGGAGACGGGCCGGAGCAATCCCGCTCATGGTGAACCAATCATCGCACGAGGGAGAAGACACAACACCAAACTCTTCGTCGGCGTGTAAGGAGTTTTGCTCTAGGACGCTCTGACTTTATCAAGCTTACCTGCGTGGTCTCAGCTCATCCCACCAGGCGCTTAACGTCCACAGCCAGAGTCCCGTTTGCCACCGGTAAACCGGTGCCCGAGCCACACCACGAGGAGGAGGGGTTGGCACATGTCACTGCTGGGGCTGTTCTGCAAGGCCCCGAATGGCATCTTTGTGGCCCTACCATGTCATAGACCCGCTGAATCTGAATTGCATGATTTTCCCTCACCGTTTGTCTCAGATCTCTTGTTCTTTGATTTTCTGTCATCCTCTCCTCTCGCCACGATGTCAATTCCTTTCTCACCTCACACATCATGTCGTTAACGTTTACCATCACAGTCTCTATTTTCTTAACAGACTCCTGGTACTGACTTAGGGCCTGAGCTGAGATCTCGCATAGTTTGTTCACAGACTTCTGTCGTCTATTTCTCTTGTTGCGCTACTCTGACCAAAGCTGAAATATTACCTATGTTAGTTTTTGTTCTACTGCTCGAGGGTTTTCATAAAATTCATTCGTTTGGGGTCAGATTCAATCTTTACGTGATCTATAATTCGGGGACCTTGTTCAGGTTTACCTGTTTTTGTTGCGTCAATTGCCTCCCTTATTTCTCTCCTACTTTCCTTGCTCTCCTTTAGCTCATCTACCCTCTCCTTTCCCTCGCCTTCCTCACTCTCCTTCCCACCGCTCGTATCCAAGTCTATCATCTTCTCATCTTTCTCCTCGCCTTCGCACCCTTGGATCAATTGCGCCAGTCTCCTGCTTTTTCCTTGGCTTCGTGGGCATTGTCGTTGGCTTGCCGAACAATAATCCCTCTTCGTGCCACGTAGCTAGGCAATTCCACGAATTCTCCTTCAGCATTCTTTTGCCTGCACGAGAAGTGTTTGTTTTCTTTGAGATTTGCCTAGGAAATTCTCCTGGAGCCAGCCAACCGAACTACAGGTCTAGCTAGTTCCAAGAGGAACGAATACATGAGGACCCGTGCAACAAAATCTCTCCTGTATCCATCCCAGTCCTCAGGGGCATGTGAGCCGAACAACAGGCCCACATGACCCCCAGACCATCAGGAGTTTCAGAATTTACTTTTATATACAGTGGCCGAAATTATGTTAGCTTCACCTTATTTTTGTGGCATAAAATAATATCTGATGTAACATTTTTGATTTTGTTTATCATAATTTATTTTTCTTAACATAACTAGGAGAAAACATAATTTAGTTTTATAATATAACATAATAATCAGCTTTTTATTATAAAACATTAAAATTTGTTAATGCAGGATTATAGGTGAGAATTTGTTAATGCAGGATTAATATGAAAAGAATAGATATATATTTTAATATGAAAAACTGAAGATTAGATGTACGCGGCATGTGCTCTCTCACGATATACATAAACAAAATCGAAACGCCTTCCCGCGCGCTCTGCTATGTACTCGGGGTGATCCCCGAGACACGAAGGCAGCCGAGAACACCCGACTCATCTGGTGCACAGCCACGCGCATAGTGCGCGTGTCTGTACACCCGTCACCAGAAACGCGTCGAACTCAGCCCATCTCAATAAAATTTATGTGTGAAATAAACATAGGTTCACTTTTCTTAAAAGTTACAACTCCAACAGAATTTAAATAATAACAAACAACTTATTGAAATAAAATTAATACAGACTGAACTCAATATTTGGTGGATCCTCCGTTATTTTTAATTACTTGAAAGATCCTTTTCTGCATTGAATTGATAAGTTTATGCAGTGTCTCTGGTTCAATTTAGGACCACGCCTCTTTGATGCCATTTTTTAGTTCTGTAGTGTTTGAATATCGTTTACCATTGGTAACTCGCACTTTTCGTGCGACAATACCCCAAAGGTTCTCTATTAGATTTAGGTCGGGACTTCTTGAAGATCAAGATAAAACCTCAACATTTACCGTTTGAAACCATGTCTTGACGGATTTGGCACGATGAATCGCAGCATTATCGTGTTGAAATATAAAATTCGGTCCACCAATTTCGTCACCAAATTCATTCAACACAAATCCCAGCAGGTTAATTTAGAACCGAATGCGAAAGTTTCATTTAAATTGTTTTCAAATTTTTTATCATTAACGTAGCCTCCAATTCAAACGTTTATTAATTATTCCATTTCAATCATTTTTATTTGTTGTTTAGTGTTACGTCCGGATTGTTTTCAAGAATCCGACCGTAGCTAACATCTATTTTCATTTTCTTTCTGATAGTGTTGAATAGTTTAACCGTTTAATATACTGAATTTGTGTACTTCGTCGGTGCGCAGCACTTGGAGATAATCCCAGGCGAGGCACACAAAGGAGGCTATAATTAGTTCTCTTCAAATAATAAGAAGTTAACCTCCCTTAGGACGATTGCCTCGTCGAAACCGCGTAGCAATAAACACATAGAAATTCGAAATCGCTAAGGTTAAGGAGAGGTACTATCAACATCTTTCGCCGCGCGGTTAAGGGGGTAGACACGGCACGTGACCTCTCCGATTTGGCCGGTCGGTATTACAGCAGATTTTTCTGCACCGAAATGGTAATACCCATAGATGTAGGGCAGGCCGATGAAAACGAGAGGGCGCTTTTTTCTAATTCTGTATTCTATTCTGAATGTAAAAGAAATAGTCAGCTGTCGCATTGTACTTGACAAAATTTAAACGCAAAGTTTGGTTGATAGTGCAAATTTATTATACTTTTAATTAATCCAAATATGCTTATACTACAATATGTTACGTTGGATAAATAAATGATGGGAAATCCCAGAAAAATAAAGTTTCTTAGGTTACATCTTTTTTTATATAAAAATACTAAACGGTTAGGTTATGGCTAGATTAGTAAATAAATAGCGAATTATTTAAACAAAAAGGGAAGCCTTTTTTATTAATAAAATAATACAATAGAACATGAACTCTATACACTTGTAAGATAACTGAAAGCAATTATTGAACAAACATTATGTATACAATTTGGTTGAGACGATTCCGGATCGCTTGTACTATCATGCTGTACACCCTGGTTTGATCTGTAAAAAGAAATATAACAATTTCTTTTTGATTTTATACTATTTGAATATAAAATCTGTTACTTACATTTTCTGATGAATCCACTATTAGGAAAGTAAAAATTAATAGGAGAGTGTGAAGAGACCCACCACCACCCCCGTCAAAGACGGACCTCTTCATTCTCCACATTTGTACTTTTGTGCCTAAAAGTATGTGTCATACTTACGCTGTCATACATATCATTTCCATTTGATATGAAAGAATTGTTCTCTTCCCTTGCAAAGTAAGGAAAAGTAGCTGAAAGTAAAAATTAATAGGAGAGTGTGAAGAGACCCACCACCACCCCCGTCAAAGACGGTCCTCTTCACTCTCCAAATTTGTACTTTTGTGCATTTATTGCGGACCTCCTAAATAAATAAATACAACATGATAATGATTATAAATGAATTCAACTTTTGTGGCGATCTCATTTATTTTTCTAACAAAGTTGCGTAGCAGGTGATTGGTGCATTCAATTTTTCGTACATGCACCATATACTCTATAGGTGTCATACTTACGCTGTCATACATATCATTTCCATTTGATATGAAAGAATTGTTTTCTTCCCTTGCAAAGTAAGGAAAAGTAGCTGAAAGTAAAAATTAATAGGAGAGTGTGAAGAGACCCACCACCACCCCCTTCAAAGACAATCCTCTTCACTCTCCACATTTGTACTTTTGTGCATTTATTGCGGACCTCCTAAATAAATAAATACAACATGATAATGATTATAAATGAATTCACGTATAGGTAATAAAAATAGAGGCATTGTACTTACCTTTTTATACACGTGTGTTCCCGTTTCCTCCCAGATTATAAATTGTTCTCTTCCCTTGCAAAGTAAGGAAAAGTAGCTGAAAGTAAAAATTAATAGGAGAGTGTGAAGAGATCCACCACCACCCCCGTCAAAGATACACCTCATCATGTGTGGTGTGTGCACCGCCGAGTGTAGTCTCAATAGACTGTAGAACAGCTCATCATATGAGCGGTGGGTACTCGACGGTGCAGTCGCAATAGACTATAGAACAGCTCATCATATGAGCTGTGTGCACCCGCAGGTGCATTGCGACCTTATATTGCAATCGTTTATTATACACCTCATCATGTGTGGTGTGTGCACCGCCAAGTGTAGTCTCAATAGACTGTAGAACAGCTTATCATATGAGCTGTGGGTACTCGACGGTGCAGTCGCAATAGACTATAGAACAGCTCATCATATGAGCTGTGTGCACCCGCAGGTGCATTGCGACCTTATATTGCAATCGTTTATTATACACTTCATCATATGAACTGTGTGCACTCGTCGGTGCAATTCTGATTTTTATGTACATCGTCACATGTACTTTCTTGTGTACTGGTACATGTATTGTTGCTCTGTTTTATGTATGCAGGCTCTCTAATAGGTTGCTGCCGATTAA